TACACGGTAAAATACGGTATATCACGGCTTTTCTAGCCTATTTACCAAATAACTAAAATAACAGAGTGAATACTCAGGAGTCACACTTAAAAATGATCAAATAATCTTTGTTTCATACATGCATACATACAAAAGCACACAATCAGATTACATAAAGAGACTGTAGGAATTACAGTAATATGTTATATCAAGAGATAGGAGGAGTTATACAGAGATGTTATATAGGGAGAAGTTATATGGAGAGATAAGAGGAGTTATAGAGAGAGTTTATAAAGAGAGATAGGAGGAGTTATAGGGAGAGGTTATATAGAGAGATAGGAGGAGCTATAGAGAGAGGTTATATGGAAAGATAGGAGGAGTTATAGGGAAAGGTTATATAGAGAGATAGGAGAAGTTATAGGGAGAGGTTATATAGAGAGATAGGAGGAGTTATAGAGAGAGGTTATATGGAGAGATAGGAGGAGTTATAGGGAGAGGTTACATTGAGAGATAGGAGGAGTCATAGGGAGAGGTTATATAGAGACAGGTGGAGCTATAGAGAGAGGTTATATGGAAAGATAGAAGGAGTTATAGGGAAAGGTTATATAGAGAGATAGGAGGAGTTATAGAGAGAGGTTATATAGAGATAGGAGGAGTTATAGGGAAAGGTTATATGGAGAAATAGGAGAAGTTATAGAGAGAGGTTATATAGAGAGATAGGAGGAGTTATAGGGAGAGGTTATATGGAGAAATAGGAGAAGTTATAGAGAGAGGTTATATAGAGATATAGAATAAGTTAGAGGGATAGGTTATATGGAGAGATGGGAGGAGTAATAGGGAGAGGTTATATAAAGAGATAAGAGGAGTTATAGGGAGAGGTTATAGGAGGAGTTATAGGAAGAGGTTATATGGAGAGGTAGGAGGAGTTATAGGGAGAGGTTATATGGAGAGATAGGAGGAGTTATAGGGAGAGGTTATATAAAGAGATAGGAGGAGTTATAGGGAGAGGTTATATGGAGAGATAGGAGGAGTTATAGGGAGCGGTTATATGGCGATATAAGTGCTGGCACTATATAAATATAATAATAAGAGGAGTTATAGGGAGAGGTTATATGGAGAGATAGAAGATGTAATAGGGAGATGTTTTATGAAGAGAGAGAGAGACAGAGAGAGAATGAATGACAAGGAGAGATTATATGGATAGGTAAAAATACATGATAACAGAGAATATTTGGTGTCTCACCCTTCACTCTTCTTGTACAAAAACCCAGATTTCTCTGTGCCATGCTGCTTATCACCTTGATGTTGGTGCAAACTATACCCAGTGCCAGAATCTTTTCTGCTTAACCCATCCTGAAAAAGAAAGATTTAGATGGAGGTATGGGAATTGAACCATTTCCTTGCACAACCTTGCTCCTCTTACTCACCTCCTTGTTTTCTATCTGTAACTGTTTCTGCAAGTTATCTCGAAGTTCTGAAAGTTGTTTTAATTCTTCATCCTGTGTCTGATGAATCTGAAGGGACAATTAAGGAGGAGATCAGTAAATTCAAGAGTCTGTGATACCTCCAAAGAGCTATATTTAATATATATTAAATGGAGAGTAAAACTCACAGTATGCAAGGAAGATGACAATTTGTCTATAAACGGTAGGAGACTCTGCACAGCATTTAGCCCATCCTGGAAAAAACTAAACAAGACAATTAGGGCTGGTGAATATGCCAGGGAGAATAATAAAAAAATGGATGGTGACATTTAAGTGTGGAGCAATAGGCTGAGAGAAGGAACAGAGGAAACAAAATTAGATAAGATATGCATTCTGTGAAAAGAAAATAGACATATATTTACTTGCGTTGCGCATGGAAGAATTTGATGAGGCACTGGAGGAAATCAGGGCCCTGCTTCACCTGCGCTTCACCCAATTTGAGGAGATACTGGGAAGAGAGAAGGAATGGGTAAAAGAACACTAAGAGTAAAATAGAGGAAAATAGAGAACAAAATAAGTGAAGATGTCATTTTTTCCCACTTTCACTGCCCAAGGTATTTTTACTACCTTTTATTAATTGTCATTTAACTAGTTCTAAACTTAAACACACCCTTACAGTACTTTTAGTAACAGTATACTATTTTTTCTATCAAGATTACATATGTTGACCTCAGTCTTTGTTTGTAGTAGTTTTATTGGTTTTTTTTTTTAATCAACTCGCAGATTAATAAATAACTTATCTAATTTTGTTTAAAGGACAATTACAAACTAATCTTTTGTTTTAAAAGAAAATCACTATTTAGTAGATATACGCCCAACCACTTCATGCATGCATTTGTTAGCTCAGAGAATCTAATAGAAGGAGGCAGCAAGACTCCTTAACTGTTTATCAGCCAGACGGGGCTCCATAATGTCTTTATATCAGTGATGATTTATGATGGAAATTCGTACTTTTATAAACTGGGGTAAAAATAGGACAGTGCATAAAGCACTTCAGCAAGCTTCATTTGTGCTTATTTACCACTGAATAGTACATAAAGTACACGTTTTATATCTTTTGAAACTGAAAAACAGACATTTGTGGGGGTTTATTCACAAACCAAGAATCATGAAAAGTTAGCAATTGTTGTCAGTTATTATGAAGTAAGTCCACATTTTAAGCCAAAATAAATAAGCTACTGGAGAATCACTATTATCAATTTGCCCTAAGAATTTGTACTCCATTTACAGTTCTTTGTAACTCCTTATTTAGTGAATATATTCACAGTTTAGGTTACAAGGGATAGCATTTCTACCCAGGTACTGTTTTTGTTTCTCCTAATTATATGAATTATCTTTACCTCCACTCAGTACTATTTCTTTTGAACACCTCACCTCACACAAGTGCAGCTGAAATAATTTCCGTTCTTTGTCAGTCTCGTCAGCGGTGTCTGTTTCAACACGAGACCCGAAAGAGCGGGTTTTCTTCGACCTGTAAGAATATAGTGCTCTTTACAAGCCATATCTGTAAGTACCAAGCACAATCCTATTAACCTCCTCATCTCATCTGAAACCCATGATTGGCTAGCATTGCTTAACCCCAGCATACAGTACTCTTACATTGCTGTCTCCCATCAGTCAGTGCTATTTAATAGCCCTTCCCCAATATCCAATGCATCATTCCAGTCAGTGCAACTAATGATCTCAATAATATCTAATGGGCTCTCGTGTCCATCCTCAAACAACAAAAACATTTTTTTTTAAACTGATGCAGTCAAGCCCCCATTGCCCCCACAACAGTATATTGCTAACAAACATGTTGTTAATAAAAGTGTATTCTTACACTTTAATCTCATATTCCTTCCAGCTTCGGTCTGTCTGTTTTCTTAGTTCCTGCAGTAATAGGAAGGGTTCCATATAGACATGTAAAAGGGGAGCCAAATATTAAGAGATTTAGAAAAAAAAGTATTCAATTGTTTGCAGAGTTGAGCAAAGGGTGTGAAAGCACAGGAAGGTTCTAACTTACCAATCTTCCATCTTTTAAATCCCCACGCAATAAGGAGTCCAATGGGAATGATAAAATGCTGTTTAGATTGTGAATCTGCAATCACGAAAAGATGTAAAGAAGTGTTTAACATCAGTGTATACATTTAGCAAAATCATAATTCTAACCCTTTCTACCATTCCATAGTTCTATCATATTTTCCCCTTTCTCCCCTTTTCTTAATCCCTCTCTCGCTTTCCTAACATGTTTCACTTTAAGCACTGTTATTTAACTTAATTGGAGCCATATGTGAATAAAATATGCAGTAAGCTCTACACTGTTATATGTAGTCAAAGGGATAGAGGGAAGGGAAACAAGAGAGAAAGGCAAAAAAAATATGACGGGAAGAGATGGGAAGGACTAGAGGAAGGGAGAAACAGTGTACCGTAGCCAAAGCACATTGACTCACCATAGTATTGAAGAGTGAACTCAGCTCCCGTGAGAGTACAGATAGGTTTAGAAAGCCAGTGGATAGTTCATGGTTGTTCATGGAGAGCTGATTACTGCCCAGAGATTGTAGAGCTTCTATATACCCCTCCTGAGCATCAACATGAGCTGTGAAGGGGGCAACCATGCAAATGAGAGTCACTAAGAACATAAAGAATAATACATTCCTGAAAAAAACATGCCATCTCTCCTAAAACATGTGTTAAATATTAAAAAAAAAACATTTGTGTTTGTGTACATGAGTGCAGCCATATTGGTTTTTTTTAACAGAGTATGTGGTTCTGGTAACTAGCAATAGAGAAGATGTAAAAGCTCCATGAGTTCTGAAACCTATCTCTCACTCTCTCTTAGAGGGCCACACTCCATTCTCACCTTCCAACTCCGCAACTTTCCCACCTTACTCCATGGTGCCCTTCCTTTTGTGTTTTTATCCCCCACCTCCTCTAGATTGTACGTTCTTTAAGCAGAGTCCTCATCAGCCTATTATTTCTGTCAAGACTTGTAATAGTTTGTCTCATATGTTAAATCGCGCCACCCCCCATTTACAATATTGCTAAACACTGCAGAATAAGTTGGCGCTATATAAATGCCAATAATAATAATAATAATAAATTGGGAAATATATTTTTCAAGTTGGAAAGGAGTCATTGAAGCAAATGTGGAAATGTAATCGGTTGAAAAAACATAATTCTTTGTGACATAATACCGCTAAACTTTGCAAAAACAAAACTCTTGTCCACACTCCATAGGAAACATTACACCTATGGATTATGTAAATCCTACAAAAAAAGCAAATATGTAAAGGGAAAAAAAAGAAGGCGCATGTTTACTTACTCGCAAAGGCCTGCCGTGGGGAGTCAATTGGCCTGAAGCTCACCAGATGCTGATATACTGTATCTGTGATTTGATATATTCATATCTACCACCTGTTCAACTTACTGTGCATTGGCACTCACATTCACACTTGGTGCAAGGTATGTATTGACATTTCATGTGCAATGCAAAAGTCTATGGGTATAACATTACAACCTCTTTTGTTTTTATACAGGCTTCCTCAAACTCTGGCCCTCCAGATGTTGCTGAACTACAACTCCCATGATTCTATGAATGAAACAGGCTGAGAATCATGGGAGTTGTAGTTCAGCAACATCTGGAGGGCCGGAGCTTGGGGAAGCCTGTTTTTATATATTTGATATACAAATGAAATAAGTTGGGTTAGCATATCGTATTCTATTCACCTAATTTAATTGATTTTGCTACACTTTCCGTTTTCATTATAGTGTTCTGATCTGTGTACCTGCATGTGGGAGGTTTAGGGCATAGGATAGGATTTCTATTTAATGTTTTCTGCCTCTCTTCTTCCTCACACTCTTTATTATTTCTGATTGTGTAGTTCAGTGTACTAGAAACATTCAAATTAAAAATCTACCGCTCCACTACTACTGAATTCAAGTTAAGCCCAAATAGTGTTAATATCCTATGGAATTAATTTCACCCGAACTCACAAAAAGTATGAGCATTTCTGCAAACTGTGCATATTCTGAGCTTTAGCACCTTTCATTTATAGCTAAAATGCTGAATTTGATGAATATACTTCTATAAGATTCAGATTAATAGAATAACCGAAAACTGATTAATATCTAAATTGTAGTAATATCAGTAATTCTAGCTGTGGATAGCTTAAAATCGTTTTATGGGTCTCAAATATCTCAAGATAGTGTACCAGTTTTCCTTGTGTGCCTGTAATAATCATTTCTTTCAGAAAATTCATCAGCTTTCATGTTCCCACTGATGTACATCTTCTTGCTATTCTAAAGCAATGTCTGTCACATATACAAAATATGTATCTAAGCCACAAAATCATATATACTCACAAAGTCCTGATGAGTGTATGGTTCGTATACTCTTGCGGATCTTGTTCAGAACCTGCAGGTTGGTTTCTAAACTCTGAAGAAGACAAACTGGTTAATACGTGGGGAAAACAGGCTGTTTTTGTGAATAACTAAATAATAAAAAAAAGTGTAAAGAAAATTCAATGGAGGAAATTATGGAATCATTAAATGCCTCTATCACTATGAGGAACAAACTAGGAGGCTATCAGCAGCACTTAGATTCGTAAGTGTGTTAAAGAGAAAATAATTAAAGAGAAACTATAGCCACTATAACCACTTATTATTGTTATCAGGGCCGGATTAACATAGGGGCTGATGGAGCTGCAGCTCCAGGCCCATGGAATAGGCACATTTTAAAAAAACAAAAAACTTTTTTCTTTTTTTTTTTACATTTTTTTTTTTTTATTAACACTCTACTCTTAGGTTTGCCACCTGACTGGTATTTTACAGGCACAGATGGTATTAGAGGCTGCCTGGCTAAACAGAGATTACTCTGCAATACCAGCGCCGGCCAGTAGGGGTCACTGTGTGTGTGGAGAGAGGCAGGGATATGAAGTTACAGCATAACTCCCTGCCTCTCTCTACTCACTGATCCACGGGGGAGCAGCTACACAGCACAGAGAGTTCAGACAGCAGCTCCCAACCTGCAGAAACAGCCTACAGCATAGGGAAGTGAGGGATGAGGGGAAAGGCTGCAGGGAGACATTGGGACACTGAGACACTAATGGACACTGGGAGACCTGGGGACACAGACACTTGGAGACACTGGGAAACATGGGGACACTGAGACACTGGGGGAAGCTGTGAGACATAGGGACATTGAGAGACACATTGGGACACGGAGACACTAATGACACAGTGTCTCCATGTCTTTCAGTGTCCCCATGTCTCCCAGCCAGTGTCCCTAGTGGCTGTGTCCTATAGTCTCCCAGTGTCTGTGTTCCCATGTATCTGTGTCCCTAGTGTCTCAGTGTCCCCATAGCTCCCAGTTCCCCCATGTCTCCCAGTGTCCCCATGTCTCCTAGCCAGTGTCTCAGTGTCCCCATGTCTCTCAGTATCCCTAGTGTCCCAATGTCCCCAAGTGTTTCAGTGTCCCCATGTCTCCCAGTGTCCCCAAGTGTCTGTGTTCCCATGCCTCCCAGCCAGTGTCCCTAGTGTCCCAGTGTCCTCTAGTCTCCCAGTGTCTGTGTTCCCATGTTTCTCAGTGTCCCTAGTATCTTAGTGTCCCCAAATGTCTGTGTCCCCATGTCTCTGTGTCCCTAGTGTCTGTGTCTCCATGTCTCCCAGTGTCCCCAAGTGTTTCAGTGTCCCCATGTCTCACTGTGTCCCCATGTCTCTCAGTGTCCCCTAGTATCCTAGTGACACAGGATACACTGAGACATGGGGACACTGGGAGCAATGAGGACACAGACCCTTGGAGACTAGTGGACTGAGTGACATGGGGACACTGACACTGTGATACATAAGGACACTGATGCCAGGCTGGCCTTCCAATTCTTTGGGCAGACATGCCCCCTTTTTGGGCATTGTCACTCCTTTTGGCAGTTCTGGTCACGTGATTCGTGTCGTTAGCCCACCCTTTTACACCGCCCATTGACTTCCTGCTTCACTGGACACTGCTGTTAGGGGGAATGGATTTACTTGAAAGATGAAAGCATTAATTAGAGAGAGATTAGCATATTTTAAGAAAATCAGCATTTTCTTATAGCTGCATCCCATGAGTTTCCCTCTGGCACCATCTCCACCAGATACATAACGCTTGAGAGGTATGACTGTTTTGGTGTTTTTGGTCGATAAGATTCTGTAATTAGGCCCCTCATAATTGTCAGCACCAGGCCCACTGGGCTCTTAATCTGGCCCTGATTGTTATTATTATAATTATTAATGGTATTTATGTAGCACCAGCATATTTCATAGCGCTTTACAATATTATCATTGATAATAAATTAGACAATTACAAAACTTACAGTAACACTAGGTTGAAGAGGGTCCTGCTGAAACGAGCTTACAGTCTATAGGAGGTGGAGTGTAAAACACAACAGGACAGGAGGTAGCAAGGTGGAGTGAAGACGAGCTGGAGGAGAGAATAGAGTGCTGTCTTTTAGGAGAGAGTAAGGGAAAGGTATGTGAGCAGGGCCGGATTAACATAGGGGCTGATGGAGCTGCAGTTTCAGGCCAATGCTCATGGAATAGGCCCATGTAAAAAAAATATATATATCTTTTTTTTTACACACTACTCTTAGGTTTGCCAACTGACTGAAATTTTTCAAGCACAGCCGGTATGTGAGGCTGCCTAGCCGTGCCGGTATTGCAGTAATACCGGCAATATAAATGCAGATATTTTTCTCCGTATAAATGGAGATTACTCTGCAATACCAGCACTGGCCATTAGGGGTCACTGCGTGTGGAGACAGGCATGCATTGGGAAGTTTCAGCATATCCCTGCCTCTCTCTACTCACTGATCCGCAGGGGAGCAGCTACAAAGCACAGAGAATCCAGACAGCAGCTACCATCCTGCAGAGATAGAGTACAGCTCAGGTAAGTGAGGGATGGAGGGAAATGCAGCAAGAAGACATGGGGACACTGAGACACTAGGGGACACTGAGATATTTGGGGACACTGGGAAACAAGGGAACATTGAGACACTCAGGGACACTGTGAGACATGGGGATGCTGAGACACATGGGGACGCTGTGAGACATAGGGACATTGGGAGACACTGAGACATTGGGACATGAAGACACTAGGGACGCAGTGTCCCTATGTCTCCCAGTGTCCCCATGTCTCCCAGCCAGTGTCCCTAGTGTCTCAGTGTCCCCATGGCTCCCAGTGTCCTCTAGTCTCCCAGTGTCTGTGTCCCCATGTCTCCCAGTCAGTGTCCCTAGTGTCCCCATGTCTCCAAGTGTCCACATTTTTTTCAATTTATTTATTATTTTCATTATATATATATTATAATTTTATATATATATATATATTATATATATATATATACATACAATTAACGTCATTCTTAGTGTATTTTAATATTAATATATATATATTAATATTAAAATATACTTTTAATAATGATGCATGTGTGTTTATGTGCATGTAAAAGTACTTAGATCATATATATTTGAATAATTAAAGGAAATTGGCACAAACCTAGGTATATTTGTCCAAAAGAATTCCTTTATTTAAATACAAAAGAAAACATCAAATAACGCATGTCGCCGTTGAGTAGCCACTATTCATTTAATTTCAAGGGCTATTTTAATTAATATATATCTATGTGTATAATCCTGTCTCTTGTTGTTTTATGAGATTTTTTCTATTTTATTTATGCTTACTTTTATCTATTTGGTTCTATTACATTGTGTGCATCATTTTATCCCCTTTTACCTGTTTACCTTATCTAGTTTATTTAGTTATTCCACTCCCAATATGGCCACCTTATCCCCCTCTATATATATGGTCGCCGCCATTTTTCCCATCTTCCTTACATTTTCCTCCACCAAGATGGCCGCCGTGAATATTTTTTTATTTATTATCTTTAATTATTTAGCCAATCTCAGAATTACTCCTACATCTTATCCTGTCATCCTCCATCTAAATGATACACTAATCAAATGCTGACAGCTCTATTTTGATGTCCAGCAGAATGATAATTTTGCCGACATCGCATACATCATATTGAAAACTACAGTTCCCAGAAGGCTAAGTGGCCGATACTATGACGCTCACATATACCTTCAACTCCCATCAAATGATGTATCATATTATATGTATGATTTTCAGATTTTGCACCTTACAAAAAGTGATTGTATTTTATTAGAGATCAGCCCATGACTGATTTTTGGCGCCAATTTTAAATTACCATATTCCTATTTAAACCCCATGTAGCCAGGTTGCTTGTTTTTTTACCCCATTTAAAAAAGCCACAACAGCGAAACGTGTTATTGGATGTTTTATTTACTATTTAAATACAGGAATTATTTTGGACAAATATACCTAGGTTTGTGCCAATTTTCTTTAATTATTCAATTATTACCTGGATTTTTAACCACCACTCTAAAGAAATCCGAGGTGGGGATCATACCACCAGAGCCGATACCACAGAGCAGTCAGCCTGCTCTACGTTGTGAGAGTATATTTTATATATCTTTTTACACTTAGTTTTTATCTTATTGAGAGCACTATTGTTGCCCCCCTACTTTTGTTGTTGTTGGAGTTCCAGCTAACCCAAAGAATGAGGATATCTACAGTATATCCCGAAGTAGGGAT